CTTTCAAATTGTATCTGCTTTATGGATGAAATGTTTTTTTTATGATTTCTAAACTTTGATTTTGCGAAATGCTTTTAATCTAGAATAAATTCTATTTTTTGAATTGTTTGCTTGTCTGTTTCTATTAATTTTAATTCAATAAAATAATAATTAATTTTTTCTATCTGTTATGGAAGCCCTTTTAACAGAAAATGGGAAGTGGTGTTGGATTTATTTTTTTTCATTTAAAAAAAAGGATTCAGTTTTCTTCAGTGTATAAATCCTGGAAGCCTCTATGAACCCTAATAATACTAAGGGTTCAAAAGTTACATGAAACTAGCGATTTCACTAGACAGTACCTTTATATTCTTTCTTAATGGATCGAAACGATCAATCTGCCCTTCTAGAGAATTTCAAAAGAATTTTCCTTCATTCAATGAAGTTGATGTTACTTTTATAATGCAAAATTTTAATAATAAACATAACCTAATGATTTTAATGAACAAGAGATATCATTTAAAATTTATTTCAATTCAGAGAAAGTTATAATAGCAAAAGCTTAAAGCAGAAAAAGTTGCTCTACTAAATAAAAACGAAGAGTTATCTATGATGAAGTTAAAATAGAATTATTCATAACAGAATTTCTAAAGCAAACTTATGCATTAACAATTATCTCACTTAAATGACTCTAAAAAGTTAATTTTGACATAGAACCAAGGGGAAAAGTTCAAAAACTTTTTTAAAATATGGATAGGTAATCTGTGAGTGGTAATAAATAAGTTTTAATAAATTAAACTCATTTTGTTTTCATGTTGATGTTTTAATATTTTAATTAAATAAACATAAAATTGTATAAAATTAAGTTTGCTAATTCATTCTAATTTTAAGGTATTTTCTGCTAAAAAATTAGTTACATTTTATGGCAATTGGACTGAAAATTTATTTCCACTCAAATAATTGATATAATTTCAAAGCCTTCAATCTAAAATAATTCATACTATAAATTTGTTGCCATACAAAATAACCTAATTTCATCCCTTTTTTTTTTGACTATTTTCTTCCTTTGCCAAGACTCTCTTAAAAAGTAATATCTCATTTTTAAGATTTACTAAATATTTTGAAAATATAATAATTTCACAATAACATTTCCTATTAAATATCTTTTGTATATTTTTTGAGGTTTCTTTTTAAATTATTTTGAGCTTGTTTTTAGATTTTTTTTATTTGAAAAAGTTCAAAATAGAAATTGAGTATTCAAGACTAAAAAGTGGCAGTCTGCTACT